AAAGTCCTCCTACTCTGGGTGCCAGCTCACCAAGCTCGCCAGCTCACCAACTCACCAAGGAATAAAAGGCAATGAAAAAGCAAGCGATTTCGCGAGAAAAGGAGTGAACATTCCACTAACTGTACCAGAACCGTTCAACTTTGCAAGTGGAAACCGACTTAAAGCGGAACTCAAGAACCTGGAAGACTCCATTTGTAACATCGAATGGGAATTCTCCAACGGTATGTTAAGTATATCAACACTCGAAGAAATTTCTCAGAACTTAGGACCGAGAAAAAATGATTTTCCTTGATTTAAGTAAGAATAATGTTCTGATTGTCACGGTGTTTTTAACTGGACACACTCTCTACCTCAGTAGAATGAAGTTAAAAAATCGGCGAATGCAGATTCTGTGGTCAGAATGGGGAAACACCAGAATACCTTATCACTGAGTGCGCCGAGACGACTACCGTTCGTGCCATAAACTTTGGTACGGCTAAGGTTTCCATAAAAACATTTGAAAATTGCGGACAAGTGAACTCAGAAATCCGAACAAAATCCCGTCAAATGAACTCTGAAATCGAAACAAAATCCGGACGTCGCAAAAAAGAAACTATAAATGTGTTTATGAACTTTTACAGGACGCAAATAATATAGCCCCGGAATCAACAAAATATAAACCAAAAAAACATTCACTTTCCAGGAATGGACCAAAAGCGAAAAAAATTAGCGCCAAAGTATAGAAATGGGTACTTTCGAACATGCGTCGGTTAATTAGAGCTTCTAGTAGCATCGCAGAAACTAAAATATTCGATAAAGTAACTGTGAAATTAATTCAACTGTAACTGGTAAAATATTTTGCTAAGTTAAATTGTTTTTGCGGTCAGATTTCCCGGACGCTTTTCCAAATCCGGACCGGACCGCCCCGGACACTTTAAAAGTCCGGGTATGTTAGGGTAAATCCGGACGTATGGAAACCATAGGTACGGCTGATATCGGAGATGAAGAGCTGGCCTCTACGAAGCCGTCTCAGATACTGGCTTTTGTTAAAGCCCGTTATAATTCAAGAAAACGAAACACCCAATAGATTTCTAAGGTCGCGGTGATTAACTCCTCTTCCAATCATTCTACAAGGGTTGCATATTCAGTATTGCCTCTTCCTTGATAGTGCAATTTGCATCGTTTTAATTACACACACACAAACAAGCCAACTCCCGTATACCTAATATTCTTATTTTTTATTTATTTAGATAATACGGAACCGATGGACAGGGGTAGACGCAGGAGGCGAAGAAGGCGTGGCAGGAAGGGCCGCAGGAGGGGTAGAAGAGGCCGAAGACATGCCGAGGCCAAGGAGGTCAGCAGCAGCTCGTCCGAGTCTGCCAAGAACGAGAAGAAGGAATCTCCTCCCAATATCGTTCCCGAGAAGCGAAAGTCAGACCAGGAAAAAATAGGTCAGCAGTAATACAAATGGCACATTAAATATTCTAAAACGTACCTACTTTACACTACTCGCGAAGTAAGCCGAAATAGGTCAAAGTCGATTAGAAAAGGCGCTTATTTCGTGTTTCCTTGTCTAATAAAAATAAGCCGAGACAAGACAAAGTTAGACGATTAAACACGAAATAGCCCTCTTCACTATTAAACCTTGACCTATTTCGGCTTACTTCGCGCGGGTATAATGTAGAGTAGTTCAGTAAATAAGGACACGACAAGAAAGTCTCGGCGTAATTCGTCGGTTTTTTAAGCGGATTGTGTACCTTTTGGAGAGTAGTTTTCAGGGAAAAAATTGTAACACAGTGCTAGGCCCCAAATGGCTAAAAATCAATTTTTCGCAAATATTTGCCAAAATATGCAATTTGCAGAAATTTTCTCGGAATAAAAAATGAAGCTTAGGTTATTATCTATGGTTATTATCTACAAAAAAAAAGGTCCTGACACTTTTTTTCGTAAAGTCCCAGGAAAAAGGTTAAAAACGACCCTAAAGAGACAAAGAACGGGTTTTTCGCTAATATTGGCCGAAAGATGGAATGTAGATTATTTTCATGATCGGCTAAATGGAAGATTTGGTTCTTAGGTAAAAAAATGATCCTGACACCTTTATCTGTAAAGTTTTTCGTAAAAGGAAACCAATTCGACTATTCGTAATTTTATAATTTTCTTTTGTTTACACTTTCCGGAAATTCCAAAAAGGCGGAAAAGACACGAATAGTTGATTTTTATTAAAATGCGATTAAACAAATACTTCAAATTTGAGTTGCTTAAAGAGAGAACTTCTAAGGACAAACGCAGAAAATAGATTTGACAAATTTTTTATATTTTTCTTCTTCTTCATACTAGGCGAATCGCTTGTTTGGTTTCGTCGTCTCTACCGGTCAGACTGACAAGTTGTCGCTCAATCGTTTTCGTGGACGTCCTAAGCTTCTGCGACTTAGCGGTGATTTGTCGCGTGCAACTCTCACTATGCTTCTGTTTTCCATTCTGCTGATATGCTCGTTCCATTCTTCCTTTCTGTTGAGAACCCACTCATTTACGTTTTCCACCGCATGCATGCTCTTCTTATGTTTTCATTTCTCTCCCTGTCCAGAAGCGTCTTTTCAGCTATTCTGCGTAGTACTCTCATTTCGGTTGTCTCTAATAGTTGTTTAGTTTTTGCTGTATCAGTTCGAGTTTCTGCAGTGTATGTCGTTGTTCGTCGTACCGTTGCCTTGTAAATTCTCGCTTTAGTTTCCACCTCAATGTTTTTATTTCGCCATATTGTGTCATTCAAGCATCTTGCTATTCTAGTTGCCTTCGTTGTCCGTTCTCGCACCTCCGCCTCTACATCACCATATCCTGATATTTCTATACCTAGATACTTGAACTTCATTTCTTGCTGGATAACATTGCCTTCGACTTCCAGTTTGCATTTTAGTGGTACTTTTGATGTCGTCATGCATTTAGTTTTCTGCTGTAGATCCTTCGGTAAACGCACATTTCTTATTATTTCGTACATAATGATGTTGAAAAGAAGAAGGGTCAGGAAGTCACCTTGTCGGACACCACGGCCTACATTTATTGGTTCGGCCAGGACCCTGTTAATTTTTGCATGTATTTGGTTCGCTTCATATATGTTTTTTTATGGTTTTAACGAGGTTGTGTGGGATTCGCCTATTGTAAAGAAGGTGTACAACGTCACTTAGCTGCACACGGTCGAACGCTTTTTCTAAATCAATAAAACACACATACGTTGGTTTGTTTTATTCGATTGATTTTTCTGTTATCTGTCTTATGACAAAAACCGCGTCTGTGCATGATCTGCCTGATCTGAAAACTTGCTGTTCATCTGCTAAGCTTGTTAAGTCGTTAATTTTGTCGTTTATTATTATTTGTATTATCATAAAATATCACAAAATTCAAGCAAGTTCCATAATGTGATAGCTGTTGATTCTACCTTTTAAATGAACTTTGAATCATCAAAAAATATTAAATTTTAGCCGAGTTATTAAACAATTTGTTAAGACTTGGAAAGAAGATTCAGGTATTTTCGAGACGGAATATTTCTAAAACTACTAATTCTACGCAAAAAATTACAAGGGCCATTTTTGTAGGTGACTAAGCTTCATTTTTTATTCTAAGAAATATTCATGAATTGCATATTTTAGCAGATATTTGCGAAAAACTGATTTTTAGGCCATTTGGGGCCATTTTTTCGACCAAAGCTGGCCGAGCACGGTGTTACAATTTTTCCCTAAAACTACTACCCAAAAGGTACATATACACAATCCGCCTGAAAAGTCCCGGTCGGCAAATTAAACCGTGGTTTCAACTAGGCCTGTTCCGGTGGAATACCTTTTTAACACCGGTGTTGGGCTGACACCGGTGTTGGCAACGACACCGGTGTTGACACCGACACCGGTGTTCATTTAGATACCGGTGTTCATCTACAACACCGGTGTTTATCTCGACACCGGTATTGATATAGACACCGGTGTTTGGTAAATGGGTTAAAGAAGAAATCGTCTTAATTAATAAGTTCATAATAAATCTGACAATAATAATGTCGTATCGATGCTTATTTTTATCGTTTATTAAAGCGCACTGACATAACTTAATGCTTTCAAATTTAAATATATTTTTTTTGCCAGACTAATCACTAAAATAAAGTGGAAGTGTCAGATAAACAATTATAAAGTAAAAAATTGTTTAATCAAAAAAAAACAGAAAAAAAAACAAAACATAAACAAAAATTCGTAGCTGTAAAATAAACTAAAAAATATTACATTAAAAAAACAAAAAAAAAACAAACGGCACCATCGACATCGACAGTGTTGTTTATCTCAACACCGGTATCGCAATGAACACCGGTGTCGAGATCAACACCGGTGTTGTAGATGAACACCGGTGCTGAAATGCACACCGGTGTTGAGATAAACACCGGTGTCGGTGTTGACACCAGTTCACCGACTGAAACACCGGGGGTCATCAACACCTAACACCGGTGTTCAAATCTCAACACCGAACAGGTCTAGTTTCAACCTTCATTTACTGTACTTCGAGGCCGTTTGAAACGGCCCCGAAGCAGGGCCTATTTTACCATAAGGCCCATAAGGCCCGGGCCTTGAGCCCGGTGGTCTGGGTGGCCCGTTACAGGTTGTAAAATATTCATAATTTCAAATGAAAATTTATTATTATTAAAAAAATATTTATTTTTTAAAATTAGAATTAATCGTTTTTTTTTCATTATTTATTTTGTTGAATACAATAATGTTTATTTATTTTTTAAAATTATTAAAAGAATAAAAATAGAAATAATTGTTTATTGTTATTTTTTAACCCAAACTAACAAGAGAATTTTTGAATTTTATTGGAAAAGAGGGCTCGAATTTTTGCTTGGGCCTTAGAGCCCGACTAGATGAAAAATAGGCCCTGCGTTTAAGATAATAAATTATCACTGGAATATGTAATTGATAAATTTTATTGCAGATTTCCATTCCAAATCTGGCAATAGCCAGAATCACCAGAGCAGCCATAGTCAGGACCGCAATCAAGCACAAGAGGAAGATGATATCGACTGTGGGAATCCAGAGTGCTTGTGCAACATCAAGCAGGAAGATGATCTAAACAGGTGCATGTCAAGGGATGATTACTATCACGATTCTTATTTAAACTAAATCGTCTGATGGACTACAGTTCGTGATGTCTTGTGATAGCGTCTGGTGGAAATTATTTGTCCAACCAACTGTCTTGTGTACAGGAATTTTTTAGCAAAATAATGTTTATCTATCACGTAAAATAATTAAAAAAAAATGATATGTCTTTTTAATTTTTATCAAATAATATTTATATTCCTGCAAGAAATATTACCAGCGGAAGCAGAACAAAAACTTAACAGCTTAAAAGACTAAAAATTTCCCAAAAAAATATAAGGATTAGCTGATTATTAAATACTATTTTGTTAAACATTCTTGAAATAAAACATTTACACAATATATATTTACATCATATTCAAGTTGTTTTATTTATTTTCTTCAAGTGACAGAGTTAGTAATTATTTCTTCTAAATACAACAACAATACAACTTCAAACACCATTAAACAAGAAGCGTGCCTTTGCAATACAAATATTTGGGAGAAATTGTTAAATTTTCAGTTAAAAAATATATCTTAAAAACGTGACAACATCGGTAGTAGATTAAAATTAGAAGATCAAATTACAGAAAAAATTCAGTGGCTCTCAAATTTTTTTCAAAAAAAAAAGATTTTTTTTTTAAATTTTCGAACTTAAATAACTCGGTTATTTTTGACTTCTTTGAAAAACGGTAGAGAAAATATGTTTCTTTTATCGAGATCTACCACCCCTGAAAATATTTGCGCTTATTTAAGACTCACCTTTATATTTGATATATTAGAAATAATTCTAAAATAATGATGAAACAAATAATAATAAGTGGCCAGTTACTCAATATATTCTAGAGTTTGTGTAAAGGCGTCGTGCATAAAATTATTAAATGCTCTTATAATTCTCATTTTAAAGTTGCGTAGATTGAATCTGATTCTTTTTATGCATTTTTGAAGCATTACATTTTTCTTCTTCTTTCGTTTCAGTTTGCCATATTGCTTCTTGAAAAGTATCTCCGCTATCAAGACCAAACCTAAAAGAATATACGAGTACTTTAATGAAAATATGGATATTCTTCATATTGTAGGAGAGTAGGAAATATAATATTAGAAATCGTTCCTGTTCAATTCACTTTGTTTCATTAACTGTATATGATCGAAAAAGATCGACCTTAATTTGGCATGAAAATGACGTCAATCATCGACCAATAATCAAGACATTCTCCATGTAGCTAATTTTATATATAAAATGATACCTGTCTTTTTTCCATTTATTTTTGATGGTATGGTATTTCATATTAATATTTAGTTAGCCGACCATACCAACAGGTATGGCAGGCTATTAAGATCGACAAAAAAAAGTTTTTTTAATTTCACTCAAAATGAGTCATTTGGGTCATAAATTACCTAAATATAAAATATTTTTATGGTGTCTGTCTGTATATCTGTCCGTCTGTCCGTTTGTCTGTAATACGATAACTCAAAAACCGCTAAACCGATTTTAACCAAATTTGGCACAAAAATACTGTGGCACCAGAGAATCTGACGAATCTAGTTGTTGGTGGGGGCGGAGGGTTGGTAAGGGGGTATGGGAGGGGGTTAAAAATTTAAAAAAATCATCACTCCAAAATTACAGTAGCTAGCGAAACGCGGTTTCAATTTAAGATTAGGAATAATATTTGCAACAAAATTTGTAATAACATCAAAATCAAAGTCGGAGTTTTTGAGATAAAAAAATTGGAAAAATTTCTTTACTTTGAAACTAAAAGAACTGCCTACCAACTTTTTATTAACATATTAGTATGACCTGTCATCGGCACCATTTTTTTAATCTTTATATTTTTAATTATTATTAATCTTTATATTTAAGTTTAGAGTAAATATACTTTTACCGGAAAACAAATGTCCAATTAATAATAAGTAGAAGCTGCCCTGAAGCATTTTCAAGCTGATTGGTTTTAGTTTCTCGTTATTTTCACTCGCTTTAACAATCCTTTTAGTCTCTTTTTTGCCAGCTTGTACTGTAGTAGTACCTTCAGTTACGGGCGCTGCAACTTTTTTTTGCCTACCCAATTTTTCGTACTCATTTTCCGTCATTTTGGTAATAATTCCAGCTTCAAAGATTGCCATTAGTCTAAAAATATGTATTATAAATTATCCTGTGTTTATATCTTCTACATCAATCAGACTGAATACATAGAAACCGAGGGTGCGTCTCCAAAGTGGCTCGCTTCTATAACTTTTTTATTTTTTCAGATAAAAAAACGAGATATTGAGATTTGGTATGTATATGACATAAATTAGGATTGATTGACGTATTCAATTGTTTTTGGTCACTTCCTGTTTCACCGGAAATGACGGCAACTTTTGATTTTTAAATGGCAACTTCGATATATTTTTACTTTATTCGATAAAAAATGATACCAAATAAAATGACATATCATATGTCAACTTTTGACATTGTGGCTTAAAAAATCTTATTCTAAATTTCAATCTAGAGTGCCACGACTGTGTTCAAAACACTAATTTCTAATCAAGGAGGCTTGGAAAAATAGATTTGATCGTCTAATGTTTTTCGGGTCTTGTCCTAGCCGGTCAAAAGACGCCCAGATTGTATTTTTAATCATATCTCAATTTTTTCAAATGGAGCAAGGGTACATTAGCATATTTGGAAAAAGCATTTTTTTTATAATTTGGTACCACACATTTGGTATTTCGCATCAAATTGTCGTTATAAACGGCATGTTACAGTTTTAAGTAAACCATATTATGTGAAAATGACAAAATTTGACATATGATATATTATCATGGTGCAAAAAATATCTATGGAAAAGTAACCACAAGAGGAATTGTTACATCATTTAAAAAATGTTGGGAAGTTGATTGTTTCCCATCTAAAAGTAGGAAATGCCAATACAGATGAATGTATTGTAATTGTAATAGAAGTAATTCCAAGGGTGAAGTTTATTATAATTAGTGACCTGTGCTTTTTTTTATGTGTAGATGTTTAAGGTTTTGAGAATAAATCGGTTGAACGAAACCCAAAATTTAGAGGAAGTATTTGCATACCCAGAATATGCTCATAAACGATTATAGATCACATTTCCTATAATGGTAGGCAATTGTTCAATACAAATTAACTTTTTAAGTGACTGAAATATTAAATAGTTTGCAATATGGTATATCACTGTAAAAATATATTACTGTTAGGTACAATTAGGGCCCGATACATTTCAAAAAGTAGAATATTATTTTATATTAAATGAGGTATTGTACCAACAATCAATTTATATTAATAATGGAGATTAAAAAATAACAGAATAAATATAGTTCTTTTTTTATACTACAAATAAAGTATAGAATACAACAGTATTTAAAAAATAAATAAAAAAGTTATGCCCCGGCCGAGATTCGAACTCCGGTCTCTCGCTTCCTAGCTGACTCTTCACGCACTGCTCCACATTTTAATTTAGCAACTTGCTTAGCGATAGTTCAATGACGGTTATATAAAAACAGGTTCATTACAATATCTCGACGGTTTGAATTGGCGCGCGGAACGTGCTGACCAATAACGCCTCTGTTATCACCTGTGACGTAGCGACCAACCTGCGCAATATCATACCTTGTTTTCTTTATATTAATACCAGGGGTATCATTTAAAAACGAAAAGTTGTAGTCCTTTCCGGTGAAAAAGAAAGTGACCGAAAACAATGGAATACGTCAATCAATCTTATTTTATGTCATATACTAACATACCAAATCTCGATTTTTTTTATCTGAAAAAATAAAAAAATTATAGAGGTGCGAGCCACTTTTGAGGCGCACCCGGTATTTGGCATATCTAATTCACTTAATCCATTTGTCATATTAAGTATAATATCCTTGATTTATAATCTCCAAAATAAAAAATTGCTAAGGGTAATAAATTAGTCAGACTTATTCTTAAAAAGCCACACTGTATATTTAGAACATCTAACCTACTTAATCCCATTTGATATACTAAATATAATAATTGTCTTGATTTATAATCATCAATAGAAATTTGCTAAGGGCAATAAATTACTCTGACAACATACAATAGCGTCTATCATCTTCAAATAATACTTACATTTTATTAATTTCTTCAATGTAAGGGCACCCTAGTTGTAAAGCTACAGCTGAATATGCCGTGTTTAGTTTTTTACTGAGATGAAAATTATCTGAACCTAAAAATATCAGAGTTTAATGAATATACCTAACTAAATAATCTACGTTGACTGGAAAAACACACCAAAACGTTGAATGTCGAAAAATAACGTTTCCCTGCCCGCCATCACAGCGACATCTTTTCTATCTTTCACTAGTTTAACTCCTTCTTCTACCGACTCCACGACATATTTTTCTTGTTTTCGTTCCATGATGTTCCAGATTTCGCCATAAATTCCTGTACCGTTCTAGCAGAAAATAAATGTCATCATAAGAAAACCAAGTCTACAGGGTGTTTCAAAAAACATGTGCCATCTCTCATGATGGGAGGATCCCTCACGTAAAAATAAGATATATTTTTCATATCAACATAGGTCCGATTCTACTTTATTTCGTAGCTGCAAGAAGTTAAATATTCATTTTCTTTCGATTTATTATAATTTTCTTCCAAGTGCCTTTAGCGATTCGAATGAACTTTTCAGGGTAAAAATTACTATAGTGCGACATATTTTAATGCTAAAAAGTGTCAACATATCCACCAGAGACGTGCATATGCGTTATCACTGGAATATTTTTTTTAAACATGTGCGCTACTGACTTTCTTTTCTCTTGTTAGAAAAATTAAATAGGCCGTTTAAAGCCGATTAAAAGTTGTATCTTGATATTTTGTCGATTTCGATCTCGCTGAGGAGATAAACGCAATTTTATTAATTACAATTAATTAAATTAAAAAGAAAATTATGATTTAGTAAAATATTTATTTCATCTATTTTACTATATTACAATTTGTAACACTGATGTTTAGTGCCACCTACAGCAAATCAGAAAAAAATAATGATATTTAAGATAATTTCAAAAATAGACCTTTTATAAGTTTTAATATCTTGTCTAGCTTTAAAACTATGCGTTTTCGCACCCATATTTATAGGAACTTTTTTCATATATTTTGATGGGAAATCAATAAGTACTTATTTAACACTTTGGTTAGTTAATGAAAAAATTTAAAGGTCTCTATTAAACTTGTTTAAAGGCAAATTAATAAAACTGCGTTTATCTTATCAATGAGACTGAAATCGACAAAATATCAAGAGACAACTTTTAATTGGCATTAAAAGTGAGCAAAAACAATTGAATACGTCAATCAATCCTAATTTATGTCATATACTGAAACCAAATCTCGGTTTTTTATCTGAAAAAATAAACATTAGTTAAGAGGTGAGACACTTTTGAAACACACCCGGTATAAAGGGATTAAAAAATGCTCAATTATTTAAAACCATAGGTTTTATCCTCGGTTTTATCCAAACATTATGAAATAAATAATTGTCATCATTTATTTGCTACAGGGCTGTTGATACCAAAAAATCATTTACAAAGAAACAATTTACACGCTTAGCCCGTTAAAAAATATTACCGGATTTACTACTGTACAATATTTTACCGGACTGAAATCAAGTACCTATGTAAAGGTATGCTTTACGATGCAATTTAAAATAAAAGAATATGTTTTATAAGTTATAACCCTAAATGGCCTAAGTTTCACTTACCTCTAATAAAGAAAAAGAAGGACTATGCCTTTCGACATATAAATGGTAGTCTGCAGTGGACATAACATCTCGAAGTTGATATAAATTATTTATAGCTTTTTCTAAAGAAAAGAATATTTTAAATAGCTGGATAAATGTTGGTTTATTAGGAAGGAGACTTTAAAATTTATATACTTAATAAGACCAATTTTCTAAATTTCATTATCAGGTTCTAATTTCTGATATTCGACTTAAATAATTTCTTACCTCTGCCAGGTCGAGCTAGTAAGGAAGTCAAGTTGGCCGAATACATGTCAGTAATAACGTAAGTCGCCGAAATTGACAGCAGACTAATAAAAAATCTCGCTTTGATTGTAGAACTTGGTTCTCGACCAGCTGAAACAAATATTTTCTTGGTTAGAGCATTTTAAATGTTAAATTAATGTGGATTTATACTTTGTTTCAACAATATTGTTACGGTAAACCATGTACAGTCGAAGAATAGTCTGGCATGAGATCTAACTCTAAACCTGGGTTGCCATAAGTTAGGTAAAGCGATCAACGCGTATAGAAAAGGACCTACTATAATAAATGTTACTCCGATAGCAGGCCATACCTAAAATAACAACAGATTTTAACATATTTTATTTAGGGTTTCCATTTCAGATTTACCCGGGCAGTTCCGGGTTTTTAAGGTGTCCGTGTTGGTCCGGAATTTGAAAAAATGTCCGAAAAATCAAACCGTAAAAACAACTTAACTGTGTTGATTATAGTATGTAAATGTTTTCGTTTTAGGTGCACTCGTGTATGGTGGATGTGAATTGTGATTTGTTTGACATTATCTTATTATGATCATGTGCGCTTCGTGAATATAAGTCTGTCCAACGATCGATTGCGTTTTGTCTGTCATTTTAATTCACAAGGAAATGGTATTTTATGTAATTTTTTGAATGTCGTTGTCGAAATCGTCTCTGCTAACTGTATTAAAAACGTATGCAGTATAAATATTAGTATTGCTCACAAAGGCAAAAGGGTATACCTACTTAACACTCTTCCAACTGTCTTTTACCTTTAAAGTAAAGTCTGTCTGTGTGTCTACCGAGTCAGAAGAGTCAGGGAAGAATATCGTCAGACGATATCCAAACAATGATTGAAAATACCATTTACCTGTAAATTAAAATGACAGACAACAACTCTCACTGTTAGACATTTTATCGTTAGACAGACCTTACATAAATAAATTCATAAATTATTTTTCGACGAGGTCCAGATCTTGTCAAAACTTTGTATGGAAACCCTATCCATCACATTTAACTTGAACATCTTAAGTCTACGTAGGATTCTTCGAATAGCGTAAAATTCCATGCATAATTGTTTTGAAGTTTCTGTTTAATGTATACTAATTTGCTAATATTAACCTGCCATTGAAAGGGTCTTAACAAAGCCAATGCCTCATTGAGTCTGCTTGGGGCATGTGTTACAAAAGCTCCGCTATCTGCCAATGTGATGAAGGAAAATTCAACGGCATGAGATCTTTCGTAGGTGATACCTACGTCTCCAATAAAAAGATCTGCTTCCTAGAATGTTTCATACCAATAAAAATGTAATTTGATACAGTTGTTTAGTTAGTTATAGGCCAGTAAACATTTCTTCCAGTAAAAAAGAGTTCTTAGATTTGTATTTTCTCAACGTCTCGATTAATGGAAAATTTTAATTTTTTAGTTTTGCCAGCATCTGACTGATTGAAAAATTGTTATACTCAATTCAATTATAATACAAAAAGTTTTTATGTGAGTTTTGTTGTATGGTCGTGTTTCAAGTAGTGTTAATGTTCCCATAATAAGTCCCATATTTACTATAATTGCCGATTCGGTTCGTGTAAGCGGCGATTCGGCGGAATGTCGGTTTTTGAGCGAACCATCAAAAGAAATATGAAAAAATTTCCAAACGAACCAACAAATTGTATCGACAAACCGCATTGACTAACCGAATCAGCGAGTAGTGAGTATGGTCCTCAACCAAAACCTCACGAGATTAAAGCTGAGAAACAACGGCGAATGCAGATTCTGTGGGAAAAATAGTAAAACACCAGAACACCTCATCACTTAGTGCGCCGAGACAACAACCGTTCGTGCCATAAATTTTAGTACGGCTGATGTGGGAGATGGTGAGCTGGTCTCTGTGGAGCCGTCTCAGATACTGGCTTTTCTCAAAGCCCTGAGACTCTATGATGAATCATAACTCGTTATAACTCAAGAAAGGGGAACACGCAATAGAGATCTGTAAGGTCGCTGTGATTAATCCCCCTCCTAAAGCATTCTGTATTCTACAAGTACCTATTAACCTGTAAACAGTATTTTGCATCTGATTTGTCGTGCATTGAGAAACATTTCTATTTTGGTATGTTTTAATTATGGTGCTTTTTTGTTTTAACATGTTTTATAATAAAAAAAATTTGTATAGTGTGATTTTCTGTATATTACTGTATAAGAAGATTGTTTTTCGAAAACAAATGTGAAAGCAATTTTTCTGACTATCTACACCAAACTAATATTTTAATCATGTTTTGTGTTATGTTCTTCTCTTATTTATACCTATTTTAATTATATATAATTATTTGCTTAAAATTAATTTTTAGGGTCCTTATGAATAGTATACAGGGTGTCCCAGAAATAAGTGCAGATATTTTAAGGGGTGATAGATCTCGATAAAAGAAACATATTTTCTCTTTACTGTTTCAAATAACTAATAAAGTCCAAAATAATCGAGTTACCTACTTTACTTTGAAAATTTCCAAAAAATAATATTTTTTGTATAAATTTTGAGAACCACTTGATCTTTTCTTGGCTTTCTTTTGTTTCAAATTTTCAAAGAAATGTTTCCCCCAAAAAAGGCGTGTTTCTGGGGTCGAAATATATACTACCAGCTAAAATATCTGTACTTATTTCTGGGACACCATGTACTATATTAATTGAAACGTTGACAAAATAGAAATCTATAATAAGAACTTTAAAGTCTCCATTTTACTGGCCTATAACCAACTAAACAACTGTATCAAACTACAAAATTGGGGTCACAAAGAATAAAAAAAACTAAAATAATTGTAGTAGTTGACTGGATAGAAAATTGACATACTCTTTGCAACATTAGGCCCATAACGCCGTTGAATGTACCATTTTCGGATATGGGCGATCCTTGGATGCGTTGAGGTGGATCAAAATAATGATACCTAGTAAAAATATAATAACTATACCGGGTGAGTCTCAAAAGTTGCTCACCCCTATAACTTTTTCATTTTTTTAGTTAAAAAAAACGAGATTTGGTATATTAGTATATGACATAAGTAAGGATTGATTGACGTATTCAGTTGTTTTCGGTCACTTCCGGTTTCACGGGAAATGACTACAACTTTTGATTTTTAAATAACACCCCCGGTATATTTTTACTTTATTCGATACAAAATGTCACTCTGAATAGAATGACATATCATATGTCAACTTTTGACATTTTCGCATATGGTTTATTTGAAATTATAACTTACGGTTCGTAACGAAAATTTGACTCAAAATACCAAGTGTGTGGTATCAAATTATTCGTAAAAAAATGCTTTTTCCAAATATGCTAATGAGCCACCCTCGTTCTATTTGAAAAAATTGAAATATGATTAAAAATACGATTTGAGCATTTTCTAACTGGCCAGGACAAGACACTAAAAACATTAGACGATCAAATCTATTTTTCCAAGGCTCCTTGATGAAGAATTATTGTTTTTAATATAGCCATGGCACTCTAGATTGAATTTTAAAATAAAATTTTGTATTAAGCGAGAATGTCAAAAGTTGGCATGATATGTCATTCTATTCAGAATGTCATTTTCTATTGAATAAAGTAAAAAAATACGGAGGGTGCCATTTAAGAATCAAAAGTTGTAGTCATTTCCGGTGAAACAGGAAGTGACCAATAACAATTGAAACCACCAATCAATCCTAATTTATGTCATATACTAACATACCAAATCTCGTTTTTTTATCTGAAAAAATAAAAAAGTTATAGGGGGTGAGCCACTTTCGAGACGCACCCGGTAGAGTTTTATGTAACATATTTGTTATTTAATCTATTTACTTGAAATTTAGTTTCTTCGATAGCAAAGAAAGAATTCTATCATCTCTTCCACCAAGCACTTTGAACGTGTGGTTTGTTTCGTAATATTTTACGAAATGCCATGGAGGTTTCTGTAATAGATATTTACATTAAAAGTCCGGTGAATTAACTTTTGCAATGTGAGTGAGATGTTTATTTCGCAATAAGTATTACATAATACAGAATTTTAAAATGAATATTGTATAAGTTAATTGCGGACAAATGACGTACAACGTTTTATTTCATCCTATTTGGGTAAAACCTATGTTTATAAATAATTGATTATTTTTTAATCCGGTTATGTATGTTTTGAATACTATTATTGTATTTACTAACGTAATTGTTCTAATTTTATTTACGTCAAAGTAATGGTTATTTTCTTTCATCTATGGTCAAAGTCGAGTCACTTAAAATTCTTTGCTATAAAAGGAATTCACTTATTTTAAAAAAGCTGATAAAATGGAGTCGATAAGTACTGAAAATATGATTCCGAAAGAAGTTATGGAGAAATCTAACCAGGCTACAAAACCGCTGATACCAAAAAATCATCAGGACAGTATGAAAAGAATTTGTTGGTATAGCCCGGTATAAAATAAATCACTGGACTTGCTGTAAAACCTTATATAATTTTAAAAAGTATGTGCTAGGATGTATTTCAGGAAAATATTTTAACTAAGTTTCTTCGTATAAAATTAGGATTATTGATCTAAAACAATAAATGTATTTATTTGTTTATATTTAATTACCAACAATAAACATTCTCTGATAATTATTATCGAAATAGAAAGATTCTCTTAAAAAAGTACACGTGTTTCAAGAGGTGGTAGGTCTGGAGAAAAGAAACTTCTACAGAGTGGCTCAAAAAAGTGTGAGTGGATCGGGACGATTTTTTAAATATTTAATTTTTTGCTTCCTTTCAGATCGCTTTATATAATCCTAAAATATGAGTAAATATATTTCAGTAGTTTCAGAGATATTAATAAATAAATAACAAACATATATTTTTTAGCCTTTCTTAAACACATTATTAAAAATACATGAACTGTCCTGAAATCAAAAATATATTAAGCATTTACTTTAGATGGTCTACTTACTTTGCTATATAATATCGTAATTTTAAATCATACAGAGTATTCAAAATTCTACACCAAACTTTCTGCATAAATTATCTTTGTTTTTTTTTAAATGGAACACCCTGTATATTATTTTTTCTTTAATAGATGGAATATTAAAAAATGTATTTTTTAATTTACATTTTTGTATTTAGAATATTTCAAAATGTTTAACGGTTTCGCAAATATTCACGGTTTTGTATTTCATATGGCATTTTTCACAGTAATTTTTTATCAAAGCTACTCAATGATTTTTCACTTGTATTTTACCGTTGAAAGAGCTATATGAAATAATACCGCGAGTATCTGCGAAGCTGTTAAAAATTTTGAAATACGCTAAATACAAATAATATTAATTTTTTTTTCTCCATCTATTAAAAAAAACAATATAAAAGGTGTTCCATTAAAAAAACGAAGAAAAATTATTTTAAATTTTATAAAGTTTGGCGTAAAATTTTGAACACCCTGTATGATTTAAAATTACTATATTTATAACAAAGTAAGATCATCTAAAGTAAATAGCTAATATAGTTTTGATTCTCCGAACAGTTCTTGTATTATCAATAATTTTATTAAGAAAGGCTAAAAAATATATTTTTTTATTAATGTCTCTGAATCTATCAAAACATATTTAAAAATATCTTAGGATTATGTAAAGTGACCAGAAAGGAAGCCAAAACTATAATAATATACAGGTTCCATTTAAAAAAACCATCCCGATCCACCTAGATTTTTGAACCACCCTGTAGAAGTTAAATTATTATCCTGAAATACATCCTAATACCATACTTTAGGTTTGCACTTAAAACAAAATTCCTAAGTTTTTTTATTCCAGGATCTACAGATGTCCGACGCACTATTGCCGGACCCTGTATAAACGCGTGTTTTACAATAATACAGTAGGAAATAAAAAGATACTCTATAATTAATATACTTAACAAAACGCAGTCAGCATATTATATTTTAAAAATAAATATTTTTTGTTCTATATCAATATTTTTTTTTATAATTTAGGAATAACTTCCTCTGCAGGATAAAGATAATAAAACCAAAAAGAAATGTAAGATAAAGTTAATAAAATTAATCCAGGTTGGATTAAAATTTTATTGACCTTATCTTTTAAACATAATAATTGTCTATCTCTGTAGTTTTTTCTACTACTAAAATAATTAAATTAAATTTGATATGTAACACTCAATTACTCTTAGTTATCAAATCATACAGGATGTCCCAATAATCCGTGGACATAGAACTACTACGTATTTTTGGAATAAAAATAAGCTCATTAGACACAATTTACCTCTATACAACCTTCGTTTATCTGTTAGAGGACATCAAACTTAAAAAAATAAACATATTTTTTAAGATATTTTAAGAACCGTTGTTCCGATTTGAATGAGATTTTGGGTATTTATGTTTTGCTAAAACACGTTGACTACCTCGCGAGGCGCGTGTGCTTCGCGCCGGTCCCTGGACAAAGTTTACTTTTAGTAAACTTTGCTATAGGCCCCGCGGCTCATACGTGCTTCGTACTTAGGTTTCTACACGAAGCCCAGTAGCTCAGCGTTGCTTCGCGCTGTAATGATGTGCATATGGGCGACAAATGGGTATGGCCCAGCAAACAAACTATTGGTATTAACCCGAGCCTACATTGAATATAAAGGGTGTTATTTAAGAATATACTATCGATCATTTATTATGCATTTCTGTTGTTTTTTTTTGCGTTAACAAGTTGATAAATGTGTTGACATTTTTATTAAAAATACTATAAAAATTGGAAATAAACATTATAAATAAGCGATAATAACATGATAAGTAGCAAAAGTAGTAGAGTTCACAATAAGCAACAATAAAAAATGAATGAATCTACTGCATAAAAGAACAGAAAGGGAATGGCAGGATGAGTGGGCAGGTACTCCTTCAAAGCTTGCGCAATAAAACAGGATCCGTCAACCCCCATCCTTACGTCTTGCACTAGGACGAGCGGACAAATCCAAAGTGTCTCAATCCAAATCGTCTTCGTATTGGGCATACTTCGGTGACTCATGCATATCTGCTTAACAGAGAAATACCTCCAATGTGTATAGTCTGTGATGTTGAGTTGACAGTAATTCACATTATATGTGAATGTCCTCAATATACGGTAGAAAGAAATAGATTCGATATAAGTGGTGAAATTCGTGATAATTTGGCTGAAGAAGAGAAAATTAAAAATGTTTTGAAATTTATGAAAGATATTAATATATACTGTGATACTCGTCTGTGATACTCAAATCCAACTGTGATACTGTGATGTAAATAATTACCCTCTCGTAATTATACCTATTTTTATTATTGTTTATTTTCTGTTGTCTATTTTTTTGTATTTGGTTTTTTATCCTTTTGTCACTCAATTTGAAGTGTATGTGACAGTGTGATTTTATGAATTGCCCTTGTAAGATTGAATCCCTTGAGGATATTGAGATGGACCCCTGTAATTGCATTATTGTTAACAATAACGAGTTGTATATGGCTAATGATCCTGGTGATCAATGCCTGAAAAAAAAATGAAATAAAAACTATTCTTTGGGACATTTGTTCGAACGATGAGGTTAGATAAACTTACAACTACTATACAATAAGAACCAAACAAATGAATTTTCAGAACTACGTGTGCATCGCATGGCGCCAGTATTCAAATTTTGTCTCTGAGGCTCCGCGATGTACAGAAGAAGATAGAAGGGTGCGATTTGCACAAACCTGCGCCACTTTTTTGTCAAACGGAAGATGCCGTAAACAAAATTTTCATAGCCCTCTTCGTTTCTGAGCTACAGGGTCTTTTTGAACATTTTGCAATTTGGGACACCCCTTGTATCTCTGTTATTGTTAAAGGTATCGAGACGGTGAAAACTGTTTATTGTAGAACTATTTACGTAGAAATAGAGTGGTCTAGTCTGTTATTCTCCGAAAATAATATTTTTAAAGATATGAATTAAACTTATGGTATCTTAAATGGAACACCCTGTATATTTATAAATTATATGATCTGGCTTGCCATAAGCTTCTCAAAAATATATATCACTCTATATTTATTTTCACTATTTAGTGCAATATTTTTAAAAAAAATTAAAAGATCATATTTATTAGTAGGCCATGATTGATAATAAAAGAAAATAAAGAATTATTAAAAGTATACTGCTATCTGTCTCTTGTTTTATTTTGAGAGCCTTTTTCTTTAGGAAAACTCTTATATATTAGGAAAACTTATCTCTCTACCGCTATTTGTAAATTTTGGAAGCTATCGTATCGGAACTTTTAAATATTCCTTTAGCTAATTTAATATACTTTCAGCAAGATGGGGCTCCTCCGCACAAGTAAACTTTCAACGAAAATATTAGAATTTTGCACATTGTTAAATTATTATTTCTCAAATCAATGAATTGGAACCAATGGACCCATATGATGGTCCACCAGATTCCCGGATTTGTCCGTTCTTGATTTTTGAAATATGAAATATATCATGGCAACTAATACAATGTCGGAAAACACCTGGAAAATGCTACAATAATGCAAGCTAATAATGCAAACTTTTAGATATTTGCAAACCTATCCCGTTATAAAAAAAAGAAAAATATATTCAGAGATTCAGTGGTAACAGTTCAAAAGTAAAATACATCAATTCCAAATAATATTTTAATATGTCATGTGTATGGCTATTTTAGTAAATACCATATTGATTTTTTGTTATTTATCACGGCCTACTAATAAGAAAATTATATATTTTAAATACTGCAGTAAATAATGAAAATACATATAGAGTGATATATATTTTTGAGAAGCTCATAGCAAGGCGGATCATATAATTTATAAATATACAGGGTATTCCATTTGAAGAAACTTAACTTTAGTTCATATTTACAAAAATATTTTTTTTGTAGAAAAATAGACTACACTACGGTATTCTACGTAAAAAGTTCTACAAGAATCAGTTTTCGCCTTCTCGATATCATCCATAATAACGGAGATACGGGGGCTGTCCGAAATTGTAAAATTTTCGAAAAGATCCTGTAGCTCAGAAACGAAGAGGGCTATGAAAATTTTGTTTACTGCATCTTCCGTTTGACAAAAAAGTGGCACAGGTTTGTGCAAACCGCACCCTTCTATCTTCACGAATAACGGAGATATCCTATGATTTCAACCAAAATGGGACACCCTGTACACGTGCATCGCATTCAGAACTATGACCCTAAATGTCTATAAATAATATTATCATTAAACATTTTATGTGTTATTTATAACATTTTTGACACATTTAAAAAAAAACTATTGGGCCCCATGTTCAAAAAAAATATTTACTATTTGGGCAGTCAACGTGTTAAAATTTGACTTTCACAAAAATCAAGAAAAAGTACGGGAAAGGTAAAAACTACCGCCCCTGCATAAATTTTATTATAAATATTTTCCGACTCCATCGATGACAAATTTTTTCGTATAATGGTCCTTCTAGTATTTACTACATTTCTGTCTCTTGTAAAAAAAACGCTATCGCGCATACTTTTTGAGAATTATTTTTCCGAAGGTGACTTCCAAAAAATGTTTCTTGTCACATCAATCTATGCAGGTGCATAAAATCTATTAAGCGGCAATAATCTACTTGGCGAAAATATGGAATTTTATGATAGTATCAGAAATTATATTTGCCAATAAGCTTCATAAAAATCTTCAAAAAATAAATATATGTTAAATTAATTTGCGTTCGGGTTTATTATTGGTTGATGGCCTCTAACGGACAAATAAAGCACTTTTGTATAAAAGTAAATCGGATGCAATTAACCTGTATTGATTCAAAAAATACGTAGTTGTTCTATGTCTACAAAATATAGGAACTCCCTGTACATATTGTAGCTCTGCTTTGAAAAAAAATTCTCCAAATTTTTTTTTGAAAAATTATGAGCTGTGGCAGTTTTTACAACAGACAGAAAATGTAGACCATTTACGAAAAACGGTGTCATTGGTGGTGTCGAAAAATAGTTATACTAAAATTTATGTAGGGGTGGGGGTAGTTTTCACCCTCAACGTACTTCTTCTTGATTTTTGTGAAAGTCAAATTTTAAGGCACTTAGACATCCAAAATCTCATTCAAATCGGAACAACGGTTCTTTAATATCTTAAAAAGTATGTTTATTTTTTTAAAGTTTGATGTCCTCTAACGGAAAAACGAAGCAGTAGTTCTATATCTACGGAATATTGAGACACCCTGTATAACTTAGAATTTAATCCAGAATTGAATAAAAATTTTAAGCTAACGTGTAGAACTGGAACTTTTAACACTTTTCCATGAAAATCTTTATAAACTGATTTTTTATTGGGCAAGGTTGGATGAGTAAAAAGTCCACCCTTCTGATTCCACCAGTTCACCATACCCAGATGGTGTTTTCTATGTGATGTAGCTTGGTTAAAATACAGTCTAAACCTAAAAATTTATATTAGTACTAGAAAGAAAATAAATTTATTAAATAGAATTATAAATAGGAGACTAACGCGTCATTTCTTGGATTGGTGATAATGAAGACTCTCATAGCATGATGGATGTTCTGAAGAAACGCACCAGTGAGGGCCTGTCTACCCCAGTTAAATATATAAACTAAGTTTCTTCGTATAAAATTTCGATTATTGATCTAAAAGAATATTAGAATAGTAGAAACAATAGTATTAAGTATTTATTTGTTTTGTTTGGTTTGGTTTGGTTTGGACAAAAAAAAAACAATCTGCAGTAATTGATAATTCCTTCAGTTTAGTAACAATTGTAAAAATGTACTAGGTGGTATAGTACCGTATTCATACGTACTAAATAAACGACGGAGTGCCATTTCTAGATGTATTAGTGATAGAAATACTAATAATTGCCCTGGAATTTGATATCTATAGAAAAAACACCACTAAGATATATTCATTACACATATGACTTTTAAATTTCTTAGTTCATGTTCATGTAATATGGATATTCTCCATCATTAGTTGATAAAAAAATTAGAAAACATAGGTATAAGTTTGCGATTTCTGCAAATTCTACTTTTCAAGTGGAGAAAGAAACGCTAAAATATTTTTCAATGCCTTTTTATATAGAGAGTTAGGTACCTATCTTGTGGTTTAAAAATAATTTTTAAGAATGCCTTTTATAAACTTGTGTATAGTGCTAATAATAAATAAATTATAAATTACAACAATTACTGGGTAATCGTAAAGATAAAACACCTCCACTGGAAAGGTCGGGTATTTATATAAGAATCCAGAATGTAAGAAATCAGAAATATGTTGTGCAAACTAGAAGATTATTAACTAGATCTAAAGTAGATATGGTTAAGATGAGATATGGTATACCGGAAAAAGCTTGCGTTGCTCAACATATTGTTGATAAAGAACATTATATAGATATTAATAATTTAAAATTAATTAAACAACTCTTAAATTACTGGTAATTAAATTCGTATGAAAGCGTCAAAATTAATAAATGTAAAGATAGTATGAACAAAGACAATGGTCCAATTCCTTCCAGTTCTCTGTTCCTATTGCCCTAGTTTCATCAAAGCAGTTGGTTTTGACTCGCTGGCTAATTTTACCATGCCTATCTATTTGTAGATATTAGTTTAGTTTTAATCATCTGCTGATGATGCTAACATGGTCAGCGAAACGCGCGTCCAGTGTAAAAATAAAGTGTTTTGGTGTATTATGGTAAATTAGTGTTTTATTTTGGAGATGTTCACTAGTCAAAATATATTACCAGTTAAAATACTCGCACTTATTTAAGAGACAAACTGTATAGACCAAAAAATATAGATATGCACATTATGATTTTAGATAAATAAGTATGGTATTAGAGTTATTTATAATTATATATTAGAAATATTGCTGCATTGTTTTTCATCTGCAATTTGTTTATAATCCGGTTTTTTAGTTATTACTTACCTCTATTAAAAGGTGTTCATAAAATTTATGGGATCCAAAGAATACAGTGTATGATATCTTGTTATTTTCCATATTGTATTTTATAGTATCATAATACTGAAAATTATAAAGTTAAGAACCATAAAAATTAATTAATATACTAAGCTAAGACCAATTTTTATAGTTTTTGACACAGCTTTAATAGTCAGCAAGATATTTTGAGACGATTTACACTGAAAATTCAAAATCTATGACATGTCTGATATATGGGGAAGAGTACAAGCTTAGACAACATTATACGTCTATGAATACAAAAGTCACTCAGCAATCAAGAGGACATGACAATTCGCAGAAATGGCAGCTACCATTGGAGTTATCCGGCTGAATATTGAATTAGCTCTCTCTTGCTAATAATGTATTATACTCCAAAGGAAAAGTTTACAAGAGTTTTCTAAACAAATATGTCGTGTTAAAAATAAGATATATTAAAATAAGTTTAAATTCATACCATACCCCTTGAAAAGACAAATAAAATTTATTCAGTTAATAACAATTATCTTACCTTTTCTTGTGTTTCGATAGTAGATAAATTAAAAAGCATTACACTAATTCTTTTTGTATCAAACTGTTTTACAAGATGCTCTAGAAAATCTTTATCTAAAATGAAAAATATTTACATATATAAGAAAATAGTGTAAAAATGCAATGAAAAAAAAACGCCAATTACTGTGGGTAGTGTAGCAAATCTTAATTTCATTTTGTGGGAACCCCTTGATCATATCAGTCACTGCATTTATCAAATCACCGCCATTTTCAGCATTAATGCTTTGAATTTCAGCTGAAATGAAAAAAACTCTAAATCTATTGATTTTTAAAAACATGTGGAAACGTCGAATTTAAAACACCCTCACACTATGCCCGAAATGTTTCGCGAAATATTTCTGGAACAATTTCGTATGATATCTACGAGGAATTAAAAGACCTAGAAGAAGAGACCGAACCTGAAATGGGACCATGATATTAGGAAAAAGAAATTAGCGGGGATAACTTGCGCCCGCATAGCCAACAATAGACAACAATGGGCCCAACTACAAAGGGGATATGTAAGGTAACTACACCATAATTGGAAATTTTTGAACAAGCTGAAAATGATGATACTAATTCATTATAATAAAATTAAATAATGAAAATAGTGTAATAATTATATTCGAAAAGTTTGTTTTTTTAAATATCTACTATACAGGGTGCTATAAATTCGAGGTACGAGCATTGGTATCTCGGAAACCGTAACAGATACGAAGATTGGAGCTAAATTGGAGCAAAGTTGCGCCTTGCAATGTTCGCCAACATGCTATCAAAAAAGTTTAAAAAATTTCAAGGATTGCTGAATTTTTTGAGAAAAACGGATTTTTTTAAAAATCAATTTTATTTTTTCCTGCCGTTACTTTTTAGAAAATCAAAAAATTAATAATTGAACATTCTCATAGCCACTTTATCAGGGCTATCTGACAGTATTTTTAGATTTTCAAATTATCTGATAATTTGTGAAATACATATTTCCTGGCATTGTTTATTTGAGGTTTTGAAAGAAATCAGTCTCTTGAATATAACGATGTGCCACACTTTTTTTAGGTACTAATAATAAAATTATTATTTAAAATTTCATGTCCGACTCTGGATTTTTAAATTATTTAACCTGATTATATTCATCGCAACAATAAGGAAAATCGATAAAAAAACACGATGTTAATCTGCTTCGGACTGTTTCGCACATAGTGTAGAGGGTGTATTAAACACGCTCTACAGTATTCGCGAAATAGACCGAAGTATCTCAAGGTTGAATAGTAAAAGGGATTATTCCATATTTCCTCGTGTAATGAAAATAAGCCGACACGAGTCAAAATTAAGCGAGAAAATATGAAATATCTCTCTTTGCCGTTCGACGTTGACATACTTTGTTCTATTTCGCGAATGGTGTAGAGCGCTTTTAAAAACAACAAATAAAAAACTTTTCATATTAATAATAAAATTCTGGGCCTAACATGTTGTGCCAGAGCTGGCAGAGCCATTTCGAAATGCCATTTGTATGCTAGAGCACATTCTGTTGTTTTCTAGCAGAACAACAAACCAATTACATGACAATATCGTACAAGGCTTCATACAACGATTGATAAATATTAATTATTTTTATTAATGCATAATAGTTACTTACATTTAAATGAATATGCAGAAAGTTTAGTTTGATAGCTGACATTTATCAGATATATAAATATAACTGCAAGATATTTTATCATAATAACTATTTAGGTTGTAAGAATCTGTATTCGGAACTACAACGTATACAGATATGAAAAATAATAAAATGTCAATCATACCATAACCTATTGTAATTATTAATTACGTACTGACTTTGAGTGATATTAAGAAATAACTTCGTGTCAGCATTAGAAATTCTTGGTCTAATTTTATATTGAGCGTTAAAAATTATGTGATCGAGTATCTTGTAATAGATTAGTTAAACAATCAGTACAAAACTGTATTACAGGTATACCGGGTGGTCGTAAATAGCTTTATTAAAGGTCTGCATATGCTGAATACACATATCAAATTTAAACAGTTTTGGACAAACCGTTTTTAGACCTTCTTATATTTCCGAACGCATTTTGTAGGTACTATTTTTGTTATAAATGTTGAGGTATATTGATTTCCTTTTTACAAATGACGTTAAGGTAATACCCTCGCCCCTTGGCGACAGGTTCAGGAACCTCGCTGGCCATTATGCTGCTCCACCATTCCCAATCCGTGTGCCGGCGAAATTATTTGAATGTTTATATTATATTATATTTATATTGTTTATTTTATATTATCTTTTATTATTGTTTAATATTTTTGATTTTCTGTATTTAATGGTTTATCTCACGTCATTGTTAAGTTTTAAAGCTTCTCAATATTGTAACAATGAATAGATTAAATACTAAAAAAACAGCGCCGGATTTGAAGTTAGTTTAAATAAATTGTGTTTAAATGCACAAAAAAAAAAATAAGTGTGGCATATCATTGTACTCAGGAGACCGAATTCTTCCAAAATCTGAAATAAAAAATGCAGGTCCGTATTTAAAAAAATAAAATTGGTCTCTGTATCCCACAAAATTATCAGATAATTTAAAAATCTAAAAATGCTCTCAGATAGCCCTAATAAAGTGACTATGAGAATGTGTAATTACTTTTTTGATTCTCTAAAAAATAACGACACAAACAATAAAATTGATTTTCAAAAAAAAAACTTTTCCCTAAAAAAAACAGCGATACTTGAAATTTTTAAAACTTTTTTGATAGCCATCTTGGTAACCATCCCAAGGTGCAACTTTGCCCAAATTTAACGGTCTTCGTATCTATCCTATTACGGTTTCCGAGATACCAATGCTCGTACCTCGAATTTGTAGCGCCCTGTATATTATTTTATAAACGCGTGTTCAAATATTGATCTTGTGAAATATATATCAATATAAAATGAGATGTAATTAACGAAATATCATCTTCACAACAGATATTTTAGAAAAGTATAAGTTCACTTATTTCATTGAGATTTATGAAAAAAAGTCCTTTGTGGCGGGTATAGAAACCGACACGTCATGGAAGTAGCTCGAGATAAAACGAAATTGAACGAGACAACAGGAGACAATTGAAAGTCGCCAGAAATAAATCGCCGACTCCCTTCTCCGCAATTTCACTAGTAGTTTCGAGGCGTTTTTAAAAAATTAAATTAGGCTGAGACAAACGCAAACAAGCCCAGACAAAGTTAGACAAGAAAACACGACGTTAATCTGCTTCGGACTGTTTCGCACATAGTGTAGAGGGTGTATTAAACACGCTCTACACTATTCGCGAAATAGACCGAAGTATCTCAAGGTTGAATAGTAAAAGGGGTTATTCCATATTTCCTCGTGTAATGAAAATAAGCCGACACGAGTCAAAATTAAGCGAGAAAATACGAAATATCTCTCTTTACCGTTCGACGTTGACATACTTTGTTCTATTTCGCGAATGGTGTAGAGCGCTTTTAAAAACCACAAATAAAAAACAACTTTTCATATTAATAATAAAATTCTGGGCCTAACATGTTGTGCCAGAGCTGGCAGAGCCATTTCGAAATGCCATTTGTATGCTAGAGCACATTCTATTGTTTTCTAGCAGAACAACAAACCAATTACATAACAATATCGTACAAGGCTTTATACAACCATTGATAAATATTAATTATTTTTATTAATGCATAATAGTTACTTACACTTAAATGAATATGCAGAAAGTTTAGTTTGATAGCTGACATTTATCAGATATATAAATATAACTGCAAGATATTTTATCATAATAACTATTTAGACTGTAAGAATCTGTATTCGGAACTACAACGTATACAGATATGAAAAATAATAAAATGCCAATCATACCATAACCTATTGTAATTATTAATTACGTACTGACTTTGAGTGATATTAAGAAATAACTTCGTGTCAGCATTAGAAATTCTTTGTCTAATTTTATATTGAGCGTTAAAAATTATGTGATCGAGTATCTTGTAATAGATTAGTTAAACAATCAGTACAAAACTGTATTACAGGTATACCGGGTGGTCGTAAATAGCTTTATTAAAGGTCTGCATATGCTGAATACACATATCAAATTTAAACAGTTTTGGACAAACCGTTTTTAACTAATTTAATAATAACTGCATTTATTTTTAAATTAAAACTGATTAGGTAACAATGCAAAACCCGTAAATGTCAACATGGCTTAAGTTGTCAATCTATGATTGAATGCAATTTGCTGTGCTGTCTACACTACTATAACATAGTAGCTACGGTTAGTGTGCCTGATATACATTTTTGTAATTTAAAACTTGTTCAAATTAGAAAATAGTCTAAAGCTTGATTTTCATGCATCCGTTGTCCGACGATACGTTGATGCGATATTAATTTTATTGGTAGAATTTAAAGACTCTGATTGGTTAGAAAATAACGCAGTTTTTAAATTTATTTCATTTTCATGTCTCCGTTTATCGGATATACGTTGGTGTTATTTTATATTTTCGTTTCCATAACGATTTTGCTATTTTACCTATATTTTTATTATTGTTAGATTAAATTTGTCAAAAAAGTGTCGAAACGTCCGTTATCGTATGAACGGGTCCGTTGACGGGCTAAAGTAAAATATTTACGGATGAAAAGTGGCGCGAAAACGCTATGACCAATCAGAGCACCGTCGGACCAACGCAAAGTGCTTCGAACTCTAGAAGACAAAAATGCAAAACTTCTCTTTTATAGTAGGCAATTTATTCAAACTAGGTTTATTTGACACAAATGATGAGTACTCTCATTGTACTAAATGATGATGTTCTTAGTCCCACGTTTATGAAAAAAATCTTATAAATAATAAAAATGTTGGAGCTGTGTTCCATCTAAGGAAATAATAATTTATAGTATGGAAACGGTGTAAGTATTAAATAAATCCCTATGATAAAAAAGAATTGAAGCCAACATTAGAACATGATTCCTACAATATAAGCCTAATATAAGATAAATATGTTTTTCTTTAATGAAAAAGAAACATTAATCTTATATTTAATTAAAAAAGACTTAAGATACTATAAATTTACTTTAGGACAACAAAATGGTATAGATCGTAACTACTCTGATTCAGAAGAATCACTGCTGACAGAATCTTCCAAATTTATAGTATCCAAACTGGCTAATTAGATGAAGTATCCTCACATATAAGATATTTCTGTACATCATTTTCTAATAAGTAAATTTTTCGCGTGTTGTTACTGTTCTTCTT